AGTTTCGTTGACATTCGTGGCATTCTGTAGATGACGCTGCTTTCAATATTTTTACCTTATCTCTGTCTTTCTCTCAGTATTTTTTTTCTATATTTGCTTCGTTGTATGGTTCGTTGTATCTTCGTCTGTAATCAAACGTCGTTCGAAGTGAATGTATTGATGTATTGATAACAATGTACATATATATATTTTGATGAGCCATCTTTCGTAAAAAACTTATATCGCTATGCAATCATCAATAAACAATTGATTGAATATTTTGACAACAATAAAGAAACCAAAAACGATACATTAAGATTATGACAATTCACAATTTATATATATTTTCCAAAAATGGAACATTGCTATATTATGCAGAATGGAATAGATTAAATAAATCTGGGATCACAAAAGCAGAGGTATGTACGAATGGATATATAAAAATTATTATTTTAAAAATTATTAAATATATACTATATAATTCTTCTAACCTTTTTAAACAATATCTACAATATCTTATGTAAAAATTTATAAAAGTAATTTTTTTCATTATTCTTTAAATTAAATTTATTATTATATTATTGTATTTATTATTAATATTATTGTATCATTAATAATATTAATGTAGTATATATTTTGTACAAATTTAGGAAGCAAAATTAATGTATGGAATGTTATTCTCCATAAAGTCGTTTGTAAGTAAAATTTCGCCATTAGATCCAAAAGAAGGATTTTTATATTATAAAACTAGTAAATATACGTTACATTATTTTGAAACTCCATCTGGATTAAAATTTGTATTAAATACTGATAATGTTACACAAAATGCTAGGGAATTATTACAGCAATTATATAGGGAGGTGAGTACAATAATTTTATTACTATATTATTATGTAGTTTATTATATAGAAATACATAGAAAAAACAAAGTCAATTTTTTTACAGGTTTATTTAGAATATGTTGTAAAAAATCCTTTATGTCAATTAAATGAACCTATTCAAAGTGAATTGTTTAAATTAAAAGTTGATGAATTATTTAAAAAATCTCCCTTGTTTTTAAGTAGATCAATATAGAGATCTATTTATTACATATATAAATATAACATATTTCAATATAAAAATGGTTGATTATTTATTTATTCAAATTTAATTTCATAATACAATCAATTGTTAAATATTGAATATTAAAAATATGAAAAACTAAAACAAAAATTATGTATAATAAAAATATTTTTATAATTTTAGTAAATATTAACTTACAATATTTCTCCTTCGTCGTATTTAAAAATTTACATTTATCATAAAACAAACAATTGTTTACAATACATTTTTGTAATATGTACTACTGTGATTTTTATATAAAATGTACAATGATTAAAAAAATTTGAAAAAAATTAATATTTATAATTTTTCTAAGATATTTGTATTAATACGTTAAAATTGCACTGTTCAACGAGAGAGCTAAATATAGTTTATAAATATGTATTTAAATCATTATTTGAAATACGTAAAAATATTAATAAAAATGTAAACATTTTAAAAATGTTTCTATGTTAAATTTGCTGATTTATATGCTATTTATATATAATCGAAATATAAACTGAAACATATTTCGTACCATGCACTAGTAAATCTAGAGCACATATGGTTCATTATATACTTTATTTAATTAAAACACATATCTATTATTATTTATATATAAAGATCATATGGCAGCTTAATGTCATATTTCACAATTTTTGAATCCGTATTTCTATCTCCTTTTTTTTTTCGTATAACTCTCGTTCGTAGATATGACATTAGCTTATTATAAACATTAGCAAAGTTATTATTTACGAACAAGAAATATATATATTGAGATAATAATTTTACACAATTATGTACACGTTTAAGTTCTTAAGAACTTGAAATCAAAAGTAAAATAAAACGTAAAATTATTAAAACATGATTACAATGTTCCTTACTATGATTGTTAGTCATTTTTCATTAGCATTACAATATGAATATATCGGCAAGAAAATCAAATCAAAGTTTTTGATATGCCTAACAAAGCACCTGAAATTAGTATATATAAATCACTGGTGTTAATAATAAATAAGTATAAACTTAAGATAATAAACTACTATACCTTTTTTATAATATTCTTAATTTCTTCTTCTAAAACATTGTAACATTCTCTGACAAGACATATTCATTGTCTTCAGATACATAAATTATTTTATATTTTCATCAAGGGATAACATTTAAAAAATGTTCATGTACAAAGGTTTTTACGATACTTGTACAGCTGGAAATATGATCGAAATGGACAAATGTATCATACAAAGAAAATAATAATTGTTGTTTGGCGTAAAATGCAACCATAAAGCTTTATAACTTTTTCATGTTACATACAGTTATTCTATACGTATATGTCATATCGCATGAAAATTTTAATTCTGTTGCAGAGTTTTATCGTAGAAAAATTTTAAAGGATTCGATATTTCTATTTATGAATATTGTGTTTTGAGTACGAGAACAAAATTTTTCGCGTATAATAATATTCGCCTATGCCCAAAAGGCAAACGTTGACATAGAAGAAAAATCTGTATTAAATTAATTTGCAACTTTTTTGTAACAAATTTGAGGCCTGTGAGTATATATATAGCTATACACACATACGTACATGACATATATTTATACGCACGCATTTCTAAAATATGAACGCACATATTACTTACTTCGATGTACTTTGCCATGCAAAGATAGACTTCATTTGTTCCCTCTATTGCATTCATAACATGTATACATGGTGTGCATAAATATAGTAAATTCGGCATTAATCCACGCACGCAGTGTACATTTAAATACATATATACACACATATGTGAATACGCATCTATCTACGTATTTCGTATTTAAAGGACGCACATATTACATAAATGCTCAGTCTTTTTTCTTTTAAGAGCGTAAATCTTCTTCTACATTATTTATACTACATCCTTTGTCGGAAGATGTCAAGAAACGTGCACCGTTGTTCTGTACCATTACAGGAAATGGTTCTTCTATCACCGATAATCGCTTTTCCCGATCTGTAGAAGCTGTAGAATTATAAAAGAAAACATTTCTCAAAGCAGCGACGTTAACCCGTTCCCATGATACATTATCTTCCGTCAACGAGTCAGCCTTCGATTCGCCATTAGAACTTCTGCTGAAAGTAAATAAATATTATAATTGGTAATCGATAAAATTAATCAATCAATTTTTCTAATTTCAATCAATCAAAATTATCTTTCGTACTTTGTACTCTTTTGACCACTTGTGTCTTGTTCTATCTCTTTGTTACGTTTACGTCTTCCAGAAGTTCGATTATTCACTCCACACGTGCTAACAATTCCTTCTTGATCCGCTTCGATGAAACTAACATGATCATCGAATCGGACACGTTCAGAACTTTCGTCTTCTCCACAAACAGTCCAATTACTGGAATCACTACATTGACGATCTAACGTTGGCTTGCGTCGAGCACGTTTCGCTAAACCAGGTGCTACTTCTTCGAGAGAACTCAAAGATGTAGCTTGACCTGCCGAATCCATATGACCTCCTGCAATAGAGCTTGTTCCTTGTTCTCCTTCGGTACTTCTGCCACCGCTAATTGAACTTCCATCCATCTAAACAATAAGCAAGTTTAAATTTTCATTATGATAAAAAGATTAATTGTTATATTACAAACAGAAGAATTCAAATACTTTAAAATTTAGAACAGAGCCTGCTAGAGCTCTCGTGGAAGCTGCGCCATCATCCAATGCAATAGATGCGTTTACAGATTTCTCTGATAAACTGGTTGCGGCAGACGCTGTTTCACTACACAAACTGAAGCGTTGAGTAGATGTCACATCTGCTTGAACTTCCAATCTAATTTTAGATATAAATATATACGTTTTTAATAATTGCAAATTATATAAATGAGAAAAAAATATATATATATTTTTTACCTTTGACCTCCTGGAAGAACACTAGAAGCTATACTTCCTGCAAGGCTAGTACCAGCAACGGCTACATTACTGGCACTCTCACGGTCGTTTTCACGACCTAATTTTTCCAAATGACTACCACTACCTAATGAAAGTGAAGCTTCTCCTATCGAAGGATTACCGCCACGATGACTTGCAACATCAATCGATGCTGCATCTACGATAATAAGAATTATATTTTTCTCTCTCTCTTTTCATTTAATCTAACTGATTTAAAATCAATTTGAATTATATATTTACCACCACCGTTGCGAACACTCAGAGAACCCATAAGTTCATTTTCGTCATCGAAATCAAATCTTACACCTGTACCATTTGTCGAAACACCACAACCTCCACTTCGACAAAGAGAAACGGGGACTACACCATAAACGTAAAATAATAAAATTGGTACGCCAATACCTACGGCCAATCCAGCTAATATGGGCGAAACTAAAACCTGTAATGATGATCCTAAATTAGGAACAATATTTTTATTAATCTTACAAAAATTCAAATTTTAAAGAAATTTATATTATTATTTATATTTATTATTCAATCATTCATCAATTCAAAAATAATGACGAAGTAAGTAAATATTAATATATATATATATATTAACGAGAAACAATTAATAATAAAAATATTGCAAATTTTCGATTATAATTCATAATTTCATGTTGAGGAATGTATAGTGAAATTAAAAACTATATTTTTTCTTTAAAATTAATTCTTTTCAGAAAAAACGTAGTAATTAAGAAAATTTTTTAAATATTTAATATATTCAATTATATTATTTAAAATATGCAATGTCTTAATTACTTCGACTTAGCATTCTTTTTTTTTTTTGTTTAAATAATTATACGCGTATCAATTTGAAAATGCGACAAACTTCTAGAACAGTCTTCAACGTGTCCAAAAAAGGAAACGAAAGCAGCAAAACAAAAATATCAAGCAAAATCGAAGGGAGAGGTTGGCGGTAGAAATAAATATATCTCGGCCAGCCGTGAAACTTGTCATGATGAGCTGAAAGATTACTGGCACACGGCGATCCGTTTTCTAGATTTCCATCAAGCGTAGAAAGGAACGTGAGACAGCGAAAGAGGAGACAGAGAAAGGTGCATGGCGAGCAGAAGGTGCGGGAGGTGCGGAAGGAAGGATATTGATCGACGGTAGGAGTGCGCGCATGGGAAATCCTCTCTTTGTCCCACCCTGCGGCCTGCATCCACCTAGGTGGCTCACGATGGAACGTGCATCGTGTCAGTCGGTACTTTAAGATCCACACTACGCTACGATCATAAACGGTCCGACGAATAGAACGTTGGGGAAGTCGGTTGGTGCTCTGCGCCAAGGGTGTGTCGTGCTGTGGACACTGTGAGCCCCGATGAGAAAACGTCGAACTACGCCGGCCCGAACGTTCAAGGACCGGTCGGCGTAACAGGAAGTAGAAGGGACACGCGACGAATCCATTCGTTTTATTAGTGATTTCACCAACTCTTCGCATACTTACACACGACAAGCTCAGATGTGAACAGTCAAATAGGCGGACGTTTTGCATGTGTATCGTTCATAGGAGTGTATATGTCGTTTATTGGCATTGATTGGGGACAATAGACACGCAAAACGTCACAAGCACGATACACATACACTTTCTCTCTCTCTCTCTCTCTCTCTCTCTCTCTCATCTGTTTTTTTTCCCCCCGTTTCCTTTCAACACGGCCATCATTGATATCATGGTTGTTAACCGTCATTAAACTAATAGAATAAACAAAGGAAAGAAAAAGAGAGGAGGAAAAGAGACAGAGACAGACAGAGAGGGCGAGAGAGAGAGAAAGACAGACAGAAGAAACGAAACCATGGCGAATTGGGATTGGGAAGATACCGATTGGGATTGGGAAGATACAGAAGAATCTTCCTGCGGAGAGGAGCAGAATCAGATAGAATTTAACAAGGAGTGGCTCGGTGGTGTTCTAAAGGAATTTCACAAAGAACCGGTTAGTTTTTCGGTATATAAACTATGATTTACAGCTAACAGTTGTCTGTTTTTGTACGACATCAGTTTAAACGGCCTATAAATGCTTTATTAGCAATGAAAATGTAACCCAATTAAAAGATTTGTAGCGTATCGAGTATTCTTGAATTGCTTGCAAATTAACCCATCATATACACAGGTCACAATAAGCGAATGTAATGTAAGTCCCGGCTGTACGAGTAATGAAAGCGCGCTGAGTGATATTATGCGTCTTAAAATCAAGTATATGTTGAACGACACGAATACTACGCAAGATTTGTCCGTAATCGTGAAAGAGCTTCCAAGAGATCCGATAAATCGTTTTTTTGTTATCGAAGGCCAATTCGATCTTCGGGAAATTAAATTTTATACACAGGTAAGCGACCAATTAATATAATAGTGCTCGTTTTAGCATCCGATAGCATCGAATTCAGATGTTTTAAATAAGTGATTTGCGAATTCAATTTAAATGAAAAAGAAGACGGGTGTGAATCTTCAGTGTGAAATTTCGTTCAACAGTTTATCAAATATTTGACATATTTGAAGCTTCGAAATCTCATTTCCAAGAATAGTAGAAGCGGATGCTAAAGGATGCGCTATATATGTTATTGTGTTATTGTTATATCAATATTTAATTATTTTATCTAATAAATAATAATTTGTATTTTGTTTACACTAGGTAATGCCCGACCTAAAAGAATTTCAAAAGAAACAACTAGCATCTCAAGGAAATAAATCGGACATCGAAATTCTTCTGTCAGTTCCAGTATGCTATTTTGCAGATTATACACCAGCTGATGAATCAGGCGATAAGCCCACAAAACCAGAATCAATTTTGGTATTGCAAGACCTTCGTGATTCTGATTTTCGAAATATTAAATTTCGTGAAGGAATGACATACGATCAAACTAAAATTGCATTAGAAGCTATAGCACGTATACATGCACACTCTCTGGCAATGAAAGTTGTAGAAGGAGAGCCTCTGTCAGAACGTTATCCATTTCTCTTCCAAACAGCAAAAGCAACAAATTCGTATCAACAATTGGTTGAACGTGGTTTACCGCAACTTGCCAAATTTTTGAAAAGTACACCAGGATTGGAAGCGATACTCGAGGCCTTAGTTATTCTAAGACCTAGGACTAAACATATAATATCTGCACTTCTTGCGCCAGAAGGCCCGCTAGCGTTGATCACGCATACAGACTTTTGGTGTAATAATTTACTTTTCAAGGAAGGACCCTCTGGTTTCGAATGTTGTATCCTAGATTGGCAAATGGTTACTTATAGTAGACCGACTAACGACATTGCTCTGTTATTAGTAAGTTCATTGCCAACCGAACTACGTCGAAAGCATACGGAAACTTTCCTTGATATTTATTGGGATGCACTAACTGGCACGTGTTCTCGTCTTGGTGTCGACATTCCCAAAGATTTAGGCTATACAAGAGAAGATTTAAATAAGGATTATAGACGATCGCAACTTCTCGCTCTCCTATTATGTATTGGATCCGTAGATGTTGCTCTAGGAGATGCAGATACTGAACAGCGCTTGATCGATGTTTTAAAAGACCTTCATAATGAAGGTGTACTTACAGACGAGACTATAATTGCCAATAGCGAAAATGATCCTTAGTCAGCGTTATTACCGCCCATGATAGTGCTGCAGCAAATTAATATTTCTATGCGAAATGTAAATCGGAAAAGAAAAAGTTATGGAACTGATCGTTCAAGAACTCGATCCGTCTATCATTAACGTTATAATTACGAATAACGTGATTCATTTCAAGCGAAAAAAGCTTGTGTGTTGATAATTATGTAATTGTGGAATCGGTCACGTTAAAATTCATTGACGTGATGAAAATAGAATTGATGTTAGATTCTTATGTTTGAAAACATTTCAATATTGGATTGTTCTTGCGATATATACACCTACAATTTAGTAAGAAAATTAAATAAACAAAATACCACATACATAATAATTACATTATATGAAATTTTAAAAATACAAACGACTCAAAATGTAAAAGAATTGCTAACAATACGTGCCATAAAAAATAATTTAAGTCGAGAATAACATTCTTCTTCTTAAATTAGTTAAATATAATACTTATTTAATTTAAATTTGAAGTTTTTTAACGAAATTTCTTCCCGCAAACTAAACTAAAACGGCTATACGACCGATTTTTGTTACTTGTAATTCATATACGCAATAATTATATTATTCCATTTCTTTGTACAAACTATATAAATAAATAATACTTTGATGTTGTCATGAATTTGAATGAATGATTTTCATGATTCCTAAATGATTCCATTATTAATATTTTTAAAATCATATTAATACTACTTTAAGATATTATTCATCTAACATACATGACAATATATAATTTATAAAAAAATATTCACTTTAAAATTCAATAAATTTTATATAGATATGAATAAAAAAAAATTTTAACTTACAGATGCAGTTACTCCTCCAACAATAAAAGCATTCCTCTTATGTTTGTTATCTTTCTCATATCTTGTATATAGTTCTTTTCCTACCCATACTGGAATACCTGTAATTAATTAAATATATATATATATACATACACATGCGTGCGCGCATGTATCATGCACATATATATACATATACATGCATAATTTTTTTCAAAAACAAAATAATTCAAACAAATTTTTTTCTCAAAGATATATTTACAAATAAATAATATTTAGATTAGCATTAATATATGAAAATGATTTAGCTTACAAACCTATAATCATAGCAGGTACAGCTATACCAGCAGCAAGACCAATTCCAACTGGAGCTCCTACTAAAGTTCCAAGTTGCCAAAGTATTTTCTTTTTTCTAGACCATGGCTTTTTACCCCAAAAGGTACAACCAGATGGACTGTAATATAAAATATATAAAATAAAAAATTATTGAAGTAAGATTTCATATAATAATAAATATGTTATACCTTAGATAATGAAGATCACTGATTTCTTTCATACATAACCAACAGAATTCTGCACCACAAACAGCGCAAACCATATGATTGCAACTTCCATCATCCATTTTAACGATAAGCACTTGACATCTTGGACATGGTTTAACATCATCTTCTGTAAATATAATTTTTTTAAAAATATATTTTAAGATTATTTATTTAAAATAAATTTTTTAAAATATTTATATCTTTCATATATTATATTAATTTAATAATTTTTATAAATAATACATACTATGCTGTGAATCACTTTGACTAAAACTAAGAGATGAACTGCGTTCATAATATTGAGTACGTTGAGCTCTAGCAGCATCACATGTTTGATTAGGATGCCAACGTGCTTTACAATGATAACAAAAATAAGAATCACATCCTGGTCGCTCACAACGTAACTTCGGACATGAAGCACAACCACTAGCAATAACGGCAAAGCTACAATCTGGTGCAGGACACCATCTCGCATCAGGTTCTACAGCAAGAACTCGTCGTACCATAAAATCTTCATATTTCTCCAATTGCGTTTGGTCATTTAAAATCATTCGAATGTCTATAAAACAACAAATTCAATAAAAATAGTGATAATAATAAAAATTAAATTCTCTTTATTAAAAAAATATATTTACCATTTGGATGAAGTGGCTCTGAACATTCAGGACATGCTATATTAACTCTAGATTCAGAAATTTCTACTTTAAGATATTGTTGATAACAGTCATAACAACTGCGATGGTGACAAGACTGAACAACAGGAAAAAATTCCATTGGTAATTCAGCCAAACATAAAGGACACTCCATTAAACCATTTTCATTACTCTAAAATAAAACTTATTTTACAATCTAAATATCATCTCAAATTATCAATTATTTCATATAATTTTTATTTTTATGAAGTTTCATCACAGATATATATTCTATAAATACCTTTCCGGCAGAAGAAAGTACAGAACCTTTGCTGGAAGCACATTGTAGATCTATGTTCTGAAATTGAAAATGGCTCGAACCATTACTTACTCTGGCTTCTCCTTTTTCAACGTCAGCAATCTTGCCACCAGTTGGATCTTTTGCTAAAAAATAATTGAGATTCAAAAAAAAGTTATTTTGTGTTTACCTCAAATTAAGTATTATTTATTACTTTTTACATTCCTGTTGTTTGAACTAGGTGTCCTCACAATTCGACGACCAATAAGTGGACTCGAATATAATAATCGGCGTAAAGAAAATCGTGCTAACATTCTTCGTGGTCGAGGAGCTGTGCTGCTACAGCCTCCAGAACTGCTATCATTTTCTTTAAACATTCTGAGTAATATTACAGGTTACTGTCTCATTCTCTGTTTCACAAGGATAAGTCAATTCAATCTATATTAAATCACATAAAAAAAAAATTAGAATTAGAATTTTCAAACTAATTTAACATATATCAATTCTCTATAATTTACTATTATATATTATACAGAAACTAAAAGTAATATATATTAAATGATAAGATATAATATATAAGTTACTTATATATTATTATTTAATTTATATTATAATATAAATATAAACATAAACATTAAAAATATAATTAAAAAATATAAAAAATATAATTTATAAATTATCGATTACAAATGATTATTTTTTCCATTATAAATATTATATTATATATAATTATATTGATCGTATTTAAACAAAAAAACAAGTTCTTATGATTAATCTTTCTCAATAATATCACAAAATTAATTTTAAAATAAATCTTTTTTAGATTATAAATTATTTATTAGTAATAATAAATAAATATTTAATAGTAATAATAACGAATTTATGCGTGCGTATATGTCCGTCATATGAAATTCATTACAAAATATATAAAATTTTTATATATTATTATTTGACGTAATAATTTATAATTCATATAAATTTATTATTTTTTCATAAATTATATTCAATTTTTTATATATATATTTTACTACTTAAACTAAAAAAAAAATTACAATTTGTCACGACGGTTATTATCAATTGCGATTTTTTTACACTTATGAAGAGTATAAATATTCAATATTTTGAAATTTTTAATATGTAACATGAAATATTGTAATATAAAAGATTATTCTATTCATCTTTTATAAAACATAAATCAAATATTATAATATTATATGATTATATCCAGTTATTTCTTTTACCGAATTGTACGAATCCAAATATCCAAATTAGTTCTAATTCACATAGCATTGAAGAAAATAATATATTGAAAATCTAAATTAGTAAATCGATTAATTCCAAAATTGTGTTTATAAAACAATTACGAGGTATGAAAAACATTTAATGCAAATTTTTATAATATTATATTTTACCTCACTTCACCCGATGTACTTGTAAGTTGATAAAATAATAATCTTTTTATAAATATAAATATAATTATAATTAATGCAAATGTCAATTTTGTAAGGGATGCAAAATAATCGCCATTTGCAATAGCTTAAATTTACATGTACATTATATAAATACATGTATATTATATATTATACGTATATATGTACATACTATATACGTATATATACATATATATGTTTTATTAAAGTTGTTTCTTCTCATTTGAAAATATTATTAAATTTTAATTAATTAATGAATATTAAGCCAACTGAAAAAAGAGCACAAAAACACGTTTGAGTCGAGTACTGAGAAACCTTACACATAGATGACTAGCATTAATACAGGTGTGGAAAGTCCACGAGCAAATACCAACTGAAGTTAAGCTAACCAAAACGTACTATAACGTACCTGATTTCTGTTAACTGATACTTTCAAGTCTATAATATCTTTAGCAACTAATAATAGATTCACTATTATTATAATCACACACTATTGATAAGTTTCACTTATTTTGTTGGTTAAGAATGTTCACTTGACACAACAGCTGACGGCTTCTGACTAAACGTATCATGCACATAATTTAGATGAGAAACACAGTGAACAAAATGAAGAAATATATATACAGCGCCTCTATATGAAAATATTTGTTATAATATTATTCAAATTATAAATTCCCTAATTTAAAATAATATATAATTTTTATATTAATTATTGATAACGATTTTATTTTAAATAAAATATTTGTAAAAAAACAATTTTTACAATGATTTAACTTTTAATTTAATATTTAATATTTAAACAGTAACATATATAATTATATTAACTAAATAATAATTTTTATTGTTTTATAAGTAAATATTAATTTTATAAATTTTTTTAACTATTATATAATATATAATAATTAAATTTCATTTAGAAATAAAAAACTAAATATTATTATGTAATTTGATTTTTTAAATCA